AAGCTTTACCAAAAAAAGAAAAGTTCATGGTTTATTTCAAGATTATCCATCACCACATTACTAAATCACAAAATCCATGGTACGATCAACAAACACCGGCTACCTCGAGCCTAAACGAATCCGCGTAACACACTGACACATTTCCCTGAAGAAAACTCGGTAAATCTCCAACGGTCTTACGTTTGTTTACCTAAAAATCAGAGAGAAAATTAACACCTACCAGGAAGACGAGATGAAACGTTTCCCAGGCATGTTTCCTCCGTTCTACAAACGGTTCGTCCTTCGACTCTCGCCTAGCATCTTCCTTCTGCGGCACGAAGATGCCGGAAGAGGCATTGAAATCTCCAGCGTTCAAATCTGAAATATCGCGGTAGAAATCTACTCGTTAGCTGCGTCACGATCTGTCGCAATCGCTGAATCCTTATCGAAAAGTTTTCGACTTTGGTGGAACGTTGAATCGACTCTCTCTCTCTCTCTCTCTCTCCTCGATATTTACCGAAGATTCGCGAGAAGACCGGAGGAATCACGTACAGGGAAGTCGGAAATCAGAGGTCGAGCAACGTGAAATCACGACGGGCCTTCCATTAACGATCCACTGTCCGGTCCATGCACGAGAATCACCATATTCGACGTATTAACCCTGGGACCTGGCTTCTTCCTGACTAGCTCGATTCTCCTCCGTGTCTCCTTTGGCTATCTGAAAAAAAAGTTCCACACGTGGTCTTCTTCCGACAGTTCCAAGAACGTTTTCACATAACGACTGGTTAGCCTCACGATGTTTCCGACCGCGGTTAACACTCTACTCGCGTTGGTCTAATTCGTTAACGAGCTCTCGATGTATTCTTGATGGTTCTTCTTACGAAAGTCGCGCTTTCTTTCGGTGATTTTAATCCATGTTTTTCCAATACCTCGGAGCAATAAATTTGGGAGAATTATTGCATAATAATGGCATTGAATTATTTGGCTATCTAAGAAATTAATTCAGTGCCTTCTTTCGGTAACTTTATCGGTGATTTTAATTTATCTTTTAAAAAATACTTGTGAAAAAATTCTGGGATAATTGCATTACTAATGGGACCATGTTCTTCGACTGTCCGATAAATTAATTCAGTGCCTTCTTTCACAAATTTGAATATTTATAAAAAACAACAGAGAAGTTTAACCTCTCTTTCCCCGATGACGTCGTTCGAACACGTCGCAAAACCTCCCGAACAAACTTACTAAATTAATTCGTCCACCTAATACCTTTGACGCAATTTCTGCGCGTGGTCAGTGAAACGTTGTCCGGAAACGAAATACCACAGATTCCTAATGATTCATTCGTTGCAAATATTCAACCGAGATTCATTCCCCTCTCTCGATACGTTAATCCACACTCCCAGCTACCTACATAATCGCCATCCTTGAATTCTCCATCCATAGACACAAATCCGTACACAAGCGTGCTGTATTCTCAGCGCCAAAGTGTCCAAAAGAACAGCACGAACAGGAAGTAACACAAAACTCTTGCTCTTTTTTCTCAATTCAACAGAGTTGAAGCGACAAGAAAGGAGCGGTCAATCTTCCGAAATGGTCTCGATCCGAGGCGGCCATGAGAATCTCTCGGGTCACTGCGAACAATGTCCGCGGGTGATCCGCGCGAGAATAACATCGACGGCGGAAAAACACGACGAGGGACAGCAGCCGGGAGCGCGTTGACTCGCTTGACTCACGCGTCGGCCACCGGCGGACCTTGAAGAGGGAACAGGAACTCGGCGGGCTCAGCGCCAAGGCGAGCCAGAATCCCGCGCCTCTCTTTGTCCTAACTTTCTGCCGCGTTGAACGCCACTCTGCTCGGTTTATCTCGATTGTTGTTGTTGTTGCTGTTCAGCAGATCGGAGTGTTGTCCGAGAGAAAGTTCGGACTGTGCTTGTGGATATCGACTTTTCGGGGCGAAGAGGGGTTGGAGAGCATGATTAAGTTTCGACGGTGAATTGGAAACGATTGTTCGGTGTGTTTCGTGGATGTTGGTGAATTTTTGTCGAGTCAGTTGCAAATTGAATTCTTTAAAGGGTGTGTAAGTAGCTGTACCATTTCAAAATTGAGTAAACCTTTTTCAAAATTTCAATGAAAATTTTGAAACATCTAATAGAAGAGGAGTTATTCAATTTTACGGTTGTAGGTATCATTCAACGACTGAGTAACTTGTTTTCTATTATATGTTTTACATTTTTCAAGGAAGTTTGTTCAATTTTTTAACGACAAGGTGGACCTCTGTAATTAGTAAAAAGTTGGTAGATATTGTAGGTAGTTGTTTGATTTTATTTCTTGCAGGCAGAAGTATAATGTGTCTCATATTCTTAGATTACCGTGTTGCAGAACTGGTTACTAGAATTGCAAATTAATTCGTCTGTCTCAATTAAGACATTAAGCTAGACCTGCAATAGGTGTACCAACATCTGCATAGCGATTCGCTCGAGTATACATACTTGGTTCAAATTCAAAAAAATTCTTTATCAAACTCAACCGTCAGATTGCAAAATCCTCCATAAAAGTCATAGAACATCAGAGTATCACAAAATATAAAAAATCATAGAATATCAGAATATGAAAATTCGTAGAATATAAAAATCATAAAAATTAAAACAAACGCAAACAATTCACTTCAAAGCAAACGAGTTCGATTTCTCTTCAGAGAAATTCCCGAAACATGAAATCACTCCACGAAAGGTACCCGCCACTGAGAGAGAAAGAATGGAAAAGAGCAATCGACTAATAAACGGCGAAGTGCGGAGGGACCAGAATGGGCAAGAAAGAGGCGAACAAAAGATCGTAGAAATGCCGCGAGTTCTATGGCTCTCCCCACTCGGTTTGAGTCTCTCGCGCGCGCACTATGCCGCGTATTTAAATAGAATTCAAGCCTCAAGGAGAAAACGCAAGGCTGCGGCAAGGACTCCGGTTGTTTTATGCCTCGCGTCGGATCACTGCCACCGGCGGCGGCGGAGCGGGCTTAAACGCGGCCGTCTAAACGCGCGAAAGTAACTCATACATAATTAATCCAGCTGTTGCCCCGCGACAACCGGCCCGAGGAGAGATCGAGATCAAGCTGTGACGCTGTCTTTCTGTATATCCCTACCCCGCCCCGTTCGATTTACGCTACTCGATGAATAATTATGCGTTCGGAGTTCTCGAGAGATACGGAGAGATAGAAAGATGGGGGAACGGGTAAGATTTTTTCTAAGGTGAATTTTATGTTTTTCAATATATTTAAATTGGGAACCTTTTGTTTTGGATGATTAATTTTTGGAAGAGATTTTTCGAATGTATTTAAGCTTGGGAAATTATGGAATTTTGAATTACTTTCCGTTCTGGATAATTAATTAAATTTCGAAGAGAACCTATTTTTGGGAAAATTTCCTTTTGAAGGTTTTAGGATTTAGAGAATTATGGATCATTCAAGTGTCCCTCTACGGAATAATTAAAATGATTCTTTAAAATTCTGAATTTTATTAATTTGAAGAATCGCCGAATTTTGATTTACAATTCATATACACGTTCCTCATAAAGTGAAACCTACGCTACCGGCCAAAAGTTTGGAATCACCTCCCACTTTTCATCAATAATTTTTTATAGATTTGAAGTTTCTCTCAGTTCTACATTTATCAATTTATCTCATATCGATCGATTCGAATGATAAAAAAGTCGCTGAGTCTCAGAGTCGCTGACATTTTTCTGCAAATTGCAATGCTCGGTGATTCCACACTTTTTGTCGGTAGTGTATCTCTGAAAACTCATTCCTCTAAAATTCCAAATATAACAATTTTCAATGAAAACAATAAAACATGTAATCATCAAGTATTATTTCCTGGAAAAAATCACTTCAGCGTCGAAATAGATCTCAGTGAAATGTAAAAAAATTATTAATTCAGAAAATCTGAACAATGAAACACTACGAAGTATTAACACAAAAACCACCAAGTATCATAAAACCTATATCTGTAAAAGAAGTAAAACTTTCCATTTCTAAACCGCAGACAAGCAACATCAAGACAGATCACATCGACCTATTGGCTATCGTCAAAATTAGACCGCGAAGTATTCATTAGCGCCGCGTTCCCACATTAGCATCGCCACAACAGCGTTTCACCGGTGTCCATCGTTAACGTGTCTCCATTGTGGCCGCGATTAG